TCATGTTGTAAGGAAGAATTAGAACCAATAGTAGGAACCACAAGAAAGAGGAAACAAAATAAAACAGAAGCAAAAAATAGCAAATAGTATTCTTTGATTTGCATTGAAACTCCATAGTTCTTTATTTGGATGTGGATAGCATTTTCCATCATGAAACTTTTGGAGATGTCTTAGATTCTTGCATTGCTGAGAAGGTCTGTATATCAAAATAAGTCATCGCACAACATGGCTGTTACTGTGTACAATGTTCCCCTGGTTCTGCTCACTTCACTTGGCATCAATCCATACAAGTCTTTCTAGGTTTTTTCTGAAGTCTGCCTTCTCATCATTTCTTATAGCACAATAGTGTTCCATTACATTCATATACCACAACTTGTTTGCCCATTCCCCAATTGATGGGCATTTCTTCAATTTCCAATCGTTGGCCACCATAAAAAGAGCTGCCATTGGTATTGTTTTAATTTGACAACTCCATACACTGAATCACTTCAAGGTCATCCCTCACCCTCTCCTCTTTATTCCAGTGTCTGAGAAAAAGTGATGCTCTCTCTGTAAATTCCAGTTTTATATTTTTCTCCTAATCCTGTGATTTCACAGGATAGCAATGCATCATGCATGAATGAATTAAGTATTATTCTTTATAACTACATCTTATTAGAAGGATGTTCATGTCTTTGGCACCAAAGAATCCTATTTCAATCTAATTAATTTTTTATTGTACTCATTACCAATCCTTCCATATTGCTGGTTCACATTTTTATTCTAAACAAATAAACAAACAAGCAAGAATAAAAGCCTAAATGATAGCATTTTTAGGCCACACTTCAGTTTAATATTTTACAGAAACACAGTGAGTGGTCTAAATGTACCTGAATAATCCCTAGCAAGCATAATTTCAATTAGATTTCTTTTTCTTATCCATCATAAGTAAAGCCTGTAGGGTTCAAAAGGCAATACTGGTCTGTATTAAATTTCCAGCAGTGAAGTAAATTGCACTGGTTTTTGCCTTCATAAGCTAATATAGCATGTTATAACATTCTTGGACATGCCCTCCTTCACCAACCACTTTCACACTGAGCCTGAAATGATATGCACTTGAGATGACAAATATGGTTTATATGCCTTTCTTGCCCACCAATGTTAACTTCATGAAGGTAGAGCATTAGGGGTAATGTGATATACATTTTTGAGGGGGGGGACCAGATTTGTGATTTCATTGGCATAAAAAACTTCTTATGATAAAACACACTTTACCAATGCAGACTGACACCTTCTCTGTAACTTTTAGTCTGTAAGAGATTCCTAAAACATGGAGAGGTTAAGTTAATTACCTAGGGCCACATAGCCGCTATCAGGTATAACTTGAACTAACTGAACTAACTGAAAGGCTAGTTCTCTATCCACTTACCATGCTCTATTGCCTGTCACATATTTTACTATGACAATAATAATGTTTAAAGAAGGGAAGGAAAATAGATCAGTTTTTCAGGATTCAAAGTAACATCATTCCATTTTTGTAGGCAGATTTACTGAGTAACAAGTCCCTTGGTAGAATACAGCATTCTAACATGGTACTTTAAAATTTACAAAGGGCTTTTCTTATAACAACAGTGTAAGGTGGCAGGTATTATTATTCCAAGCTTACAAATATGGAAACTGAAGATCAATGTTGTTAGGGGATTTGTCCATACTCATACAGCCAGTAAGTATATAACACTTGAAGCCATTGGACTCTACTTCTCCCAATCTTCAGACATCTTTGCATATATGTGCTTCATCATTGCTGTGATTTTCAATATTTTTAAAATTTTCTCTCCACCTCTGTCCACCAACACTTAGGGATGACTGTTGCCATGGAGAGCAAAGATAGTGGTGGGAGCTAACCAAGTGAGGCAAATTTAGTGATAGCTAGAAGGAAGAGACAGCCACACATATCTGTGCTTAAAAACAAAGGAATACAAGTGCCAACAGAATGCTGAAGATTGAAAAATATCATTAAACATTTTAGTGAAAACTTTTTAATTAAACTTCTCATTAAACTTGACCTTTAATACCTGTCACTGGACCTCAAATCTCAGTAGCCCTCAAGGGCCTTTGTTGATCTTGGTTTTCACTCTACTTCCTCTACCAAAACTCCTTTCTGCCTCTGTTACTTCCACTCCATGGCCCCTCCATTGTGGCTGTTTTTCTTTTCTTTTGTTTGTTTGTTTGTTTTTTCATGATATTCTTTTTTTTTTTTTGGCTAGACAATGGGGTTAAGTGACTTTCCCAAGGTCACACAGCTAGTAAGTGTCAAGTGTCTGAGGCTGGATTTGAACTCAGGTCCTCCTGATTCCAGGACTAGTGCTCTATCCACTATGCCAACTAGCTGCCCCTGCATGATATTCTGGTATCCTTCCTGCACAGGAACTTGGTGACTAAATTTATCCCTACTCCCTCAAACCAAGAAGGCTCCCCTCTATATGGTATAACCTGAGCAGCCACAGACTTCACCAAAGGGAAGATGTGAAAAAGTAGACACTTTTACTTGCTTTTGTAATTCTTATCCTTCCTCATTTCACCTACTCCCTCTTCATAGGCAAAGGAGACTTTCTCACTCACATTGTTGTAATTCCATCACTTCCTTTGGTCAACTTCAAATGCCTGCTAAAGATCAGTGCCAAATCCTATTTCCTCCATAAGTAACATGTTAATGAAAGGGAACATAATCTAAATTTGTTTCAAAGTCGACAATTAGTACACATTTTGTCATCATCCTTATTAGTCTTCTTACATCTGTACCTTAGTTATATTCCCCCCTCTCTTGTACTGAGCAATCTTCTTCCTTGAATTAAATTTTATTTGAGAATAGTTTCAGTCTGGATCCACCCCAAGAATACCCTACTCTCTTCTTTTTATGAAACTTCCATTCATTGTTACAATACTTTGTTGCTGACACACACAAAAAATTGTCATAGGATATAACCTAAGAAAAGTAAAGTGTTTGACTATCCACAGTTTATAACATTATTTCATTAGCTCATCCCATAATGAAATCCCTCATGTCTTTTTAAGTTCAGAATTTACACTTACCCAGAAGAAACAGTATAACATGACATTGTCACCAGAGTCATTTCAAAAGAAGGACACAGAAAGCTATTTCAAACAATAGACTAAGGGTTGACTTTCTACCATTTTAGTTATATAATGAACTCATCTCAACTCTATCCAAACCTCAAAGATCTGAGGCCAGGAAGAAGCAACAACACTGAGAACACAAGACATTTAGCAAAACATAAAGTATAATGGAACATAAATTAGACACATTCTCCTCTTATTTCTATTATATTTCTTTTACTTATATTGTAAAATTGTCTTTCATATGTGAGGATAGTGCTATTTACCCTATATGAATAAAGCAGTAGCAGCAGAATTTGCACTGATCCATCAATACTTTCTCACCAGGCTCCCATTGTGACCAGTGATGTACACCTGCAGGGTGTTCATTAATATTCTACATTTAGTTGTGGTTATACAGGACAGTCACCTGATCCATAAAGTGATAAAGCCTATAACCTTGGCATTGGATTTGGGTTCTAGTGTAGGTGCTAGGTCACTAACAGTGAAAATTATGTCTTGTCCACTTATTCATAAAGGTAGTGCCTCCGTGAAACAATACTCTGTTCCTCTATTATGTACTACTCTCTTTCTTCCTCATAGGATGGACAACTGGGTAGATGACTTATCTTTCTTACCAGAGACTAAGTTCCTTGAAAGTTGGAATGGAATTTTGTTTATATATTTTCCTCAATACCCAACACAGTGTCTTGCACATAATGCATGCTTAATAAATATTTGTTGAATGAATGGTCACAGTGGGGCCATTTTCAAAAGAAGGGGAATTAAGTTTAACTTGCAAACTAATTGCTTCTTCATGATGCTAATGTGAATAGTTAGGCTGCTGTGGGCTATATGCAGAATGTGGAAATGTTCTACAACTCATTCAGGGTTAGGAGAAAATTTTTTAAACTGCAGTTAAAGAAGGGTATCTTCTTTAATAACTTGGACAATATTGGAAAAACTAAGATCATATAACCCAAACCCAAATTTACCAACTAATCAGAATTAAGAAATTAGTTACACTGTGACCTGATACCCAGAGTTTTCAACAGAAAAACAAAAAAGATGGTTTACAATACATAGGGGAAGATGAGTAAGAATTCAGTTTAAAAATAAGAGAAACAAACAATTTCAATCCCTTATGTACTGATAACAGAAAAGCTCACCAACATTTAGAAATCTTAGGGAAATTGAAATATAAGATTATTGAGTAGCCTGCATTTAAATAAAGGAATTAACTCTATATTATAGTGTGTTAATAAATAACCCGCATGTCTTTTCTTGTCTTTTTAAAGAAACCATATGAATCAATCTCTGCAAAATAAGAGAAGTTTTTTTTTTTAACTTCTATGTCTTTCTAGCAGACCGTTGAGCCACTGCCTGGTTATGGCATAAGTAATCGAATTTAATAGCATAACAAAAACATTAATGAAGTGATTTGTTCATGTTTGCCTTATTTTCAAGGCCAATTACCCCTGGGTTGAGGGTTGGGGGAGGGCATCATCAAGTTCTCCCTCTCTAAGATCACATCTAACTCACTTTGAACAGGAGTGATGAACAAAATCATCTGCCATCTTAATATCCAGTTTCTTTTCTTTTCTTTTTATTTGGGGTGGGGGGAGGAGGGTTTAGCAGTTTGTCACTGCCAGTCTGTTATCATTTATTTCAATATTTTAAAGGAAGTAGTTCCAAAGTTGACGACTGATACTTCACAGAAATCTTAGTCCTACATGTGACTAAGTACTCGGCCATTCCAGGCTTACAGTTATTCATGTGGAAGACGTTTTTAATTGCCCATCAGAAAGGGTAAAAACAAAAATATTCCCTAAGAATGTCTTAAGTTACACAACATAAATATGATCATAAGAAAGATGAAGTTAAATTTCTATATTTCTACAGACCTGAGGCCATAAAGGACAGTCCCATCAGGATGCAGACGAATCATCCTATTCTTGACAGTCACCCCGTGCACAAATGACTTCTTGTCGTTCAGGAAGTATGTGTCAGGCACCCAGAGCTGATCAGCTACTCTATTGTCCAACGTGAGATTTAAAGGTATTACATTATATGACAGCCTCTTATCTCGCCAAGCTTGCTGAAAGTACATTGTCAGGGTATAGTCCTGTGATTGGGAGAAGAGAAAATTATTATTTGCACCAAAATAGACTTTGGAAATAGGCAAACAACTACTCTCTGTGTATATAAAATGGAGTGATGCTCAGAATACCTTGTATGACTGTGAGGTAGAACTGTTTGCACCTCCCCCCATTTATCAATAACTATAACAACAAGTATACATTGAATATTCCAATAAATACCATTATTGCAATTTCACAACTTTCCTTTCTCCTGCTGATCATTCACCAGAGAAGAATTATTTGGATTCAGTCTTTTTAAGGTTGCAGAGCAGAAAGTTAATGTGTCCTCATGTGTGTGAGTTCTTTTCTCTTTAGTTACCACTTGACTATATGTATTTACTGAGTTCCTTTTCTACATTTGTTAATGAAATTGATAAGAAAGATGAGGTAGGTGACAAGTGGATTGAGCATTGGACTTGGGGCAGGAAGATCTGAGTTTAAATCCAGCTTCATACATTTACTAGCTCTGTAACCAAGACAAGTTATCTTATATCTACCTCAGTTTCCTTATCTGTAAAATGGGGATAATAATATCACCTACCTCCCAAGGTAGTTGTAAGGATAAAATGTAATAAAAATTATAAAGTATTTTGTAAATCTTAAAATGCTATAAAAATGAAATGATGATGATGATGATGATGATGATGATGGACAGTGCCCTGGAACTAAAGTACAAATCATAGGTTCATCTCACTTAAGCCTTGTCTGCCATAGTTCCAAATCTCAAAGCATTCCATAAATGTGTCCTAGATTTTACCAAGCTATGTGGCATTGAGCAGGTTATGCCACACCTTGGAAGCTCAGTTTTCTCTCATATAAAACAAAAGCAATAATACTTTTATGATTCCTCTAATGATGAATTAACATGTGAAATGTATATATAAATGAGTATTAAAGATGCTAGATGAAATAAAGCATTTTTGAAACCATGGAACATATTCTTAAAGTTATGTTTTATCATTTCCCCCCTTTCCTCTCAAATCAGAAATGTCTATGTTTGATCTCAGAGTGAGTCTAATGCCTTCTGAATTTAAAACCTAATTAGTCCTGTTTATTCTAGAAAAACAATGAAAGTGAATAAAACATCAACATTCTTAGGGTTCTTTAAGCGACGATGTATAAACTTGACTTAAATAATTGCTTCTCTTAATGTTTTAGGTTGTCTTATTTTTTAATATATAGATATTCAGATTCATTTTTATCTTTTTGTTGTTGATTTTCTTTACTTTTGCATCACATTCATTTGCAAATATATTCCTCTCCTTTCTCTATACAGTGAACATTTCCTTATAAAAAAGAAAACAAACAAAAAGTTCACTCAAACCAATTGACAGATCCTTCAATAGCATCTGTCAGTGTATGCAACATTCCACATATGTTGGCCCTTATTTCCCCCAATGAAAGTAAAGAGATCAATTTTCTTAACCCTTTCCTGTGGCCAAGATAGATCATTATAATTACACAGTATTCAGATTTGTTCAATTGTTCTTTCTTTTTTATAATACCATAGTCATGTATGCTGTTTTTCTGTTCCTGCTAGCTTCAGTCTGCTTTATATTTCATATTTATTATTTCTTATGGTGTAGTAATATTCTAAATTTGATACAGCATTTCTCAATTAACTGACACCTACTTTATTTTCAGTTCTTGGCTACCACAAAAAAGTGATGCTATGCCTAATCTGGTATATAAAGGAACTTTCTATCTTTGACTTCCTTGGGGTACATGTCTTGCAGTGGGTCAGTTTACATGGACATTTTATCAACTTTTTCTAAAGCTTAATTTCAATGGTTGGAAGGTTTGGAACAATTCACAACTCCAATCACAGCACAACAGTGCATTATGTCTGCTGTATTTCCATATTTTTTAAATCCTCACCAATTTCCTATGTGAGGTGAAACATTCCAGTTGATTTAGCTTGCATTTATCTTATTAGTGATTTCTAAATAACATTTCATATAGCTATTACTGATAGTTTTAGCACTAAATTTGCGTACATGTTTCTAGAAATTATGGTTGGTTTACAATTCAAAATCTTAAAAGAACAATGGACCAGAAAATGTAAAGAAAAAATTACAAATAGACATTTTCTGAGGAATTTAGAAGATAGAAACAGAAGACACAAGAAATAAAATAAGCAGATAATTTTTTCCCTAAGAAAGAAGTTACTCAATTCTCTTTCTTGGCAATAACTACTTGGAAAATACAATTATTCTTTCTGCTAGGAGATACAGCCATTAAAGTGACTTTGATTATGGGCTCTTTTGACATTCAGAGAAGTGATTGTTTAGAAGGTGTTGAGCTCTATCTATTAGGCCTTGAAATACCTTTCAGCACCAGAAATGAAATCGAACATTTAATAAACTGTTAAATGAATAGTAATGTACTGGGATTCAGACTTACTTGATAATTTTTAATCATTTTTCTACCAAGACGATATGCATTCAGATACGCTTCTAGAGAAGGATGTCAGTTATTCTGTGAACCAATGCATCAATTCTTATTTAATTTTATTTTATTGTTACATATTACAACATATTCAGTTAAAGAAATGGCTTCTTCAGAGAATACAAATAATCTCAAAAGAAATAAGTATCTCTTAATGTATTCTTCTCATCTTTACCACCAACCATCCTAATTGAAACCTTTTTCTCAACTAACAGTAAGAAAAAAAAAAAAACAATGAGATCTCACCCCATCGATCAGGAAGTTATCACAGTATAGGCTTATTCAGATTAAAAATATTTATAAATACAAGATTCAAGATCTTCATGACCCATGTCAGATCCATGCAAGAAGATTTTTTTTTGTTATTAAATACAGCAGTCTATTAAGTTATGGGTTTGGAAAAGGAAAAATATTTATTTGAGCAACAAACACCTCCTCCCCCCTCAAAATAAGAACAAACCCAAAACAAGAAACTTTAATTGCTGTTCTGAAAAATTAGTTATGCCAATCTTTTCCTCTGAATCATACTTTTGGAAAAAAATGTAGAATATCATTAAAAACTTTGTGAATAATTAGTTACGTATCTTTTATGTAGTAACCTCTTTTGTGACTATTTCCAATCCAATCCAATAAATATTTAAGTGCCTACTATATGGCAAGTACCACGCTAAGTTCTAGGGATACAATGAATAAAAATAAAAGTCCCTGATCTCAAGGAGCTCATTCTTTATCTGGGGAGAGACAACACACAAAAGGAGGCAGGGAAGTGGTGGGTTGGTTGGAGGAAGACATCAGGGAGGACCCAGCACAGAGGCATCTTGTTCCATGGAGTTTAAACCATGCAGAGCAAAAATGCTAAGTGGAGTGAGTTCAATGTCCAATTTCTGCCCTCCTTAAAGGAAGGCATTGGGCAGAGTTTGTATATTCCACCCTTCAGCTCTCCAAGCAGACAGGAGAGGATGCTGAAGGAAGTGTCAATCAAGGCTTGAGTTTCTTCATCTAACGTCCCTACGAGCTCTTCAAAAAGCCTCTTAAATAAAAACGTTCAACTCAATAAAAAGCTCCACTTTTTTGTAAGACATTTTTTCCAACCAGTGTTTTTTTTTCAACCAGTATTGAAGTCAGACTTTGAAACTGACTGCTTCCAAAGAACTAAAGATAAGCATCACTTTGAGGCCAATGGAAGGCACATGGTGTGTATGAGCCCATACCTCCTCATCCTAGGAGATTCTTGACCATGTCTGCTAGAATTCTTATATAGGCAGTCCCCTTGTCCTTTCTCTTCCCCTCCTCCATGTTTCTGGGGGCTTCCCACTTTCCCTCTAGCTCTCCTGAAATTACATAAGTACCAATGGATCATATAAACTGTCTATGTGTTTCTATAGTTCTCTCTATAAGATAAGGCCTTTCTCCTTTTCTGGTCAAACGTTCTTTAGAAGTTCTTTTGTGCTGCTTCTCACGAACATCTTTGGGCCTATTTATATCTATCATGAATTTTTCTACTTTCCTTCAGATAACCATTTATTTGGCAATTAATCATATACTGCCTTCGGGCATTTTTATTGTTATTTTGCTCCTGTAATATTTTTGTTTGTTCGTTTGTTTGTTTGTTGGCTAGGCAACGAGGTTAAGTGACTTGCCCAGGGTCACTTCTTTTTGGCTGACTTCTTCAGCCTAGATAGGGTCCAGTGAAAGACAAGGTTGTAAAGAGAGATGGCTCACTTGAGGCCAACATATGTCCTCATGAATCAGTTTTTTTGCCTGTCTTAACATTTATTCTTTCATTTTACGTGAAGAAGATTAATCTGGAGGTTATAACTCTGTGAGTTTTGAAAGGTCAAGAGAGTGACTCATATGGGAATATAGGAATCCAGTCCATTGATGGGTTTTGCAGCCAGTCCAGTACTGATACTTGTTCAAGTGAGAAGTAACCTTCCAGACCCAAGCCAAAGTTAGCTAAGGAAGGACTCATCTGGTAACCATGACGTATTTGAATATGAATTTGACTAGATGAATTCCATGTAGAAACTGTGCTAAGAGCAAGCAAGAGATCAAGATGGTATAAGGAAGAATGTATCCCTGAGGTGGGGAAATTGGTGTAATTCTGTTTTTGCTCTATTTGGAAAGTAAATAACCATTTGTTAAATTTAATTGATGTTAAGTGGTAAAATGTCACAGGGCTGCTAGTTGCAGATTGGCTAACAGTGGGGGGGGGAACATATCTAGCATAGAAGTGTAAGCCAATGGAATTAGAGAAAAGATATCACAGCCCCAAAGGGGTACTTCTAACACCCTGAGAGGATGCTGTAGCAGATTTGAGTCTGAGATCACGTGGCAAAGATACTTGGTTGTTTTTTTTTTTTTATTTCACCACTCCCACAGAGTTTGGCTTATTTCTTCTATTGTTTGAACCATTGCTTCCCTCACTCTCCTACCCAACTTGCTGCCATGCAAATAGTGCTGTACATGTTGCAGATGTTCTATAATTGCCTTCTGAATACATGAAAAAAAATGTTGACCCTGGAGGTTTCTGAGA